AGGAACTACACTACTGACTTTGGACAAGACTTTAGATAGACCTAGTGTTTTAAAGCAAATGGCAGAAATATATAAAAGGAGATGCTAGTGTTATTTGTGACGTTTTTGTATTTTTATGTTCCAAAGTCGAGTCCTCTCATGGTTTCAAAATATTATCTTAAATTTTAGAATGGTTTAAGAATGAAGACAAAAATAACATTGTTTTAAAATGAACTTTGCCTACATTCAACAACAAAGTATGTGATAATCTATGGTTATGGGACACAGAATCCTCCATGTTTTGCTCAAAGGTAAATATGTAATCACATACAAATGAAACAATAGTTATGTGCTAGTGACACTAAAGAAAATATTCTGTTTGTAGAACAAGTTTGTGTATGTCAAGAGAACAATATCTGTTAAGAAAAGTAAGATAACAACTAGAACCTCCCAGTGGTACTACCTTCTGTCTTTAAAGTATACATACTCTCATGAAGGTAAATACAGAGTCCAAGTTATAAAGTAAAAGGTATTCATATAAATGAGTTAATTATAAAGCATGTTCATCTTTTCTTATATATACCTATTTTCAAACATAGGAGTTGTAATTCTGGGGATAAATTCTAGTTTACAAATAACTATTAAATTATTAAGAGTTAATTTTACATGTGATCATAAACAAAGATTTTCATGACTAAAAGCCAATATTTAAGATTTCATTTATTTGACTAAAGAATAGATGTGTATATTTAAGAACAAAATTTGAAATATTATATGGAAAATTATCAGTTATTTCTCTTTACTATATACACTGGTCATCAGAGAAAATATTTTATGTGGAGGGGAATTTAATTTTTTGAAACAGCTTCTATTTCAGTGGCATTTGAGAATTACTTAAGTATATCATAACAACATAGTTGAGTTCTAATGTATTTCATAGTCTGAATACATGGATCTCACTTAAACCTCTTCTGAGACTATTTATGTACTATAAACATTTATATGGAGATAACTACTTTGACTACATATTTTGATGAGAGCTGCATGTTTCTGATGCCTTCATACAGTATACCTGGTGATATGGAAATTTCAAGATCTATAAAACTGTTATCTGGAAGAAGACTTATGGAACAGAGACTTCAATATAGAGCACACTTCAAAAAAAGCTAGTTGGATATAGACAGACTACTTTGTAGACAGATGTATTTCTGTGTAGCCCTGTCCTACAGCCCTTCAGTTATACATAGAGGCTTATATTAATTATAATCTGCTTGGCCAATGGTTCAGGTTTCTTATTTGCTAGCTCTTTCATAATTATTAAACCATTTCTATTAATCTGTGTATCTCCACGTAATCTTGACTTACTGGAGAATGCCCAAGCATCCTGTCTTCGAGGAAGCTACCTGGCATCTCTCTGCCCACTCCTTTCTGTGTTTCTCTTCCCAGAATTCTCTTAGTCTGGTAGTCACACCTATACTTCCTGCCTGGCTACATCCTGTCTGTCCATAAACTGTCCATATTCATAAACCAGTTTGAGAAACATTTAATCACAGCATACAGAATGACATCCACCATCACTAGTTTTTGTTAGGTCTACATGAGTGTTGTAAAGAAAATTTCCTCACAAAACAAATGTTAATGTCTGTGAAATTTCTGTAAATCATGCTCTGATAAAGATTTTAAGATTTTAGCTAACACAAAATCAACTAAATGTTATTTTGGAGATTTTTTGTCTCATAATGCATTGTCTGAGTGTGTTTTTAAAAATTATAGAGTCATTTGCTAATATATTATGAGTTTTGATTTTGTGCTTTTATTAGATTTCTATGTGTGTATGTGTGTGAGTTTTGTATGTGTGTCTTGTGCTTTTTCCTTTGGCCTTCCTACCCCCCCCCTTTTTGTTTATTCCTATTCTGCTTTTTGTCTCTACCCAGGTAATGGATCTTTTATTATTACAATCTTGTTTTTTATTTTTATTTTTTATTTTAATTGTTTTCTCTCTTTTTACCATATAGGCTTTTTGCGCATACATTATGGCTTCCAGTTTAGTGTTTTACTGGGATTCCTGAGTATACAAGCAAGTGCATCCCTATTTCTATATGTTTCTTGTGCCCTCTCTTGTATTCTTTTGGTTCTGTTTGTTTTGTCTTTTCCAGTGTAGTGCAACTTTTTAAATCTTATCTTGTCTTATCTTATTTTCCTTTAGAAGTCTTTGCTTTCTAATGACAGACTAAGGGACTGAATCATGATGGAAGGGAAGGTGGGGAGAAGCTATATGGAAGGAAGGGAGGGGAAATCATGATATATTATATATAAATGGAGCTATTCCAGTTATTCTGCCTATAGCAGATATTATTCTGTTTATTTTTATGGGCTTGTAGGAAGAAAGGTTGCTATATGTGCTTTGGTATTACATGGCAATGGAAATATAAAAATTAACTATTGTATTATTTATAGTATCCACAAAAGGTAGGTGTGATGTTTATTGTTTGTCTACTTGATGGCATTTTGAATAGCTAAGGGAACAAATCTTTGTGGACTATCTAGACTAGGTCAATTGAGGTGAGAAGACACACCCTAACTGTGGCTAGCATTATTACATCGTTGGGAACCCTGGATTTAGTAGAAAGATGATGAGCTAATCACAAGTGTTTCTTTTTGGTTGAGGATGCAACAGGATAAGCTACATTCTGCTCCTGCCAACATACCATCATGGCATCATGGTGTACTATATTCTCAAATTGTAAATGAAAAGTAAACCTTTTCCCCCTTTAAGTTGCTTTTGTGGGTATATTGTCACAGCAATGAGACAAGTAACTATACAATATGAATTCCTTTTCAGGAAAGAAATGAGGTTTCAATATATTAGATAATAAGCTAATGTTTATAAATTTGGTCACTGGATCCAGAAACGTTTTACTCCAAATCCAGTGTTTTTAACCTGTCTTCATACTCACCATGCCTTGATACAGTTAAAACCAAGTCCTGTGACATTATTGACAACTTTGAGGTTTCTTCTTAGAATCTTTCTGAACTTTGTTACCCAGAAATCATTTTAACTTAGACATAATTGCCAAAGGTATTGAAACTTAAGTTCCATTCCCTGACAATTTTCTTGATTTACATTAAAAACTTGAGGTCTAGAGGGGAAAAATATGCATCCTATCTTATCATCAAGGAAAAACATTTGAAACAGACAGAAAATTTACCAATTCTGATTTAGGAGCTTCCAATTGTTATACCAGAATATTGACAGTCATCTCTTTTCCAGCAAGGGCAGCATGTCTGAAATCTGTAACACTTTGTTCCCATCAGACAATTGATCTGCTCAGGGGCAAGGTTCAGGGCACCAATAACTCAAGCATTTCTAGAAGACTCAGTAAACACTTATTCAATATTTTCACAAGATGCATTGAGTCATACATCTTAGATGTCTTGGGGGTAATTTGGAATTTCAGAGAAGAAACAGTGACAAGCTTAGTTTGATTTCCAATGCCCCAACAGAGTTAAATTGTGTCTTCTTCTAAAGATCAAAGGTGAAACTGACTCACAAAGAATAGAGAGAGCTGTATAAAGTACAATGCTAACAGATGATGAAATAGGAATAAACACAAAGGAAAAATAGAGTAAAAATAATCCCAGATGGATGAACTGGCTTTTTGGAACCCTTTTCCTTTGGTGGGATAGCTTGATCAGTCATGATATGGGAAGAGTGGCTTGGTTCTTTCTCAACTTGGTATGACAGACTTTGCTGACTTCCCAAGGAAGGCTTTACCCTGTATGACAGCTGGATGGGGGTGGGAAAGGTGGGAATTGCGGGGCGCGAGAAGGGAAGGGTGGCTCCTGGTGTTGGTATGTAAAATGAAAAATAATGTTTTAATTAAAACAAATAATACACTACGTTGTGAATAAAGGAAGATAAGGAAGTTTTATGATATGTTACATGTATGTAAGGGCTCTTCAGAAAAAAATGTCAGTGTAGGACTGTCTAGAGTTTACTATAAGGAGTTGGATTATATGATGTTGAAACACTGACAAAACTCAAGATCTGCAGCATCACCTAAACACTTGACTCAGGAAGAGCTGGTACTTCAGTTTTTGTCCTAAGAAAGGCGAAGATCAGGCAGGTAAGCTGTGTTGTTCATTTCCAAGCAATTGATGGGATGAACCTCGTGGACATTACACACACACATTTATTCCTCTACCAACATAAATGTTAGTATCTGCCCCCATAAAACCATACAAATACCCAAAATGTTTGATCAGCTATTCATTGGCTTACAGAGGTTGACACAAAATTAACCATTACATCAGTTGTCTTTTTAAAAAGTGTGTGTGATGATGGTGGAATGAATATGAGTATCTGCCTTTTTAAATGCAAAGATAAGTCATGTGTATTTAGTGAGAAGATACAGGACAGAAAACTGGGAATACAAGTAAACCTTCTAAAATTATATTATTTTAAAACAATTTTATATACTTCATATAGTTTAAAATCTCTAGAAACTGAAATTGAACAAGATAAACTGGCTTATGTCACGGGCTGGTAGCATTACTTCCCAGAGAAGAAATACTTCACATAACTTTTAAATACTTGGCCATTCATGACTAAAGGCAAACAGACCTGTGGTACCACCCTTTAACTGTTCTTGGGAATGAGTATTAATGCTGCCTTAGAGACTATTTGTCAGTTGGAAGCCTATGTTCCCATTTAATTGATGGATCTGTTTCCTACATCTAAGTACTGGAAGATGGCGGTGTACTACTACAAATTTCAGCCCAATCGTAATTACTGTGTCAGTGTGGGATCTGTTAAAGGAGATTAACAAACATTCCTGTAGATAGAAAAAATAAAATAGAGTAGAGATAAAATCACAAAACAAATGTGATATTTATAAAGAGACAGAGGATCTAAAAATCTATCATCACCATCCTTGACCTCAAGCATAGTTAGTTTTGCACTTAAATATCTCACCACATCAGGAGGCTGTGACTCACTCTTTTCTGTCTTTAACTCCTAGATTTGCATCACCTTGATTGCAACTTTTCTCACCCAGCCCTTCTCCAGTTTGCTAGGTCACTAATTGAAGCCCTGAAGTGCACCAAGGACCCTTGAAGGCAATGTAAGTGCCTATTGTCTATTGTGGCTTGACTATGGCAGAGTCCCCTCTTCGGGTGATGTTGTGTGCACCCTCCTGCTCACAGTTGAGACTTTGGATAAGGGTTTTGATGTTTAGAGGAGCATTCAAATCTTTTCAAGTCAACTCTAGGTTTCTAAAACATGGTGTGTTACAGGAAATAAGGATAGTGGATTTTTTTACATAAAATCTTTTTGCATTTCACATTTTGTTCATGTCTTGCATGTATTTAATTCTTCATACTGCTAAGAAAGCACAATTTTTTTTCTCTAGCATTTCATTGTGTTAGTAGAACAAGAATATTGAGTGAAAGAAGTAAATTGAAGAAATTCTACATTATTTTTAAGAGCATTTGACAGAACATTATATTCTGTGCCATTTAAATGGCCAAATAGAACGAGCAGAGCTTAAACAAAGCAGAACTGTGGGCTGCAAACTGCAGACAATGGTTATAAAGGATGCTTAATTATATCTTTACTTAACTCATTCAACTTCTAAAGCTCCAATATTATTACTGGAATTATCTCACACCACAAATTTATGTCTGTTTTGTCAAACGACAATCCAACCAATGTGCAAGTTTTAAAACTAATATTTGCTATGTTTCATTGACAGAATACTTTGTTTCTGTGTCAGATAGGTATTTTTATTTGTATGTGTGAGTTTTTAATGCAAAACACTATTTGATATTTTAGTATTGCCAAGAGATGCTACACTGAGAGATATGTCTTTAATGAATTTACTCAAGTCAATAATATGATCTTCAGTTGCAATGTCAGACAAGGTTTAGTTTCTATATTGCTTTATAAGTTCTTGTTGATTTCATAAATGAGAGTATCTATACATGCGCATGTGTAAGCATGTGTGTTATTAACACAAGCTCTTAACACATAATATATTAATATTTTGCATATATTAATATTTTTAGACAAGTCTATGGATCTGTGAATCACATCTACTTTAAAATCATTCCCATTAAAATCTTTTATTTGAATCATTGTTGTCTGAATTTATCTTATATTTTCATACACTGACAGTTCATTTTTCACAATATACTTGTCTCAGTTACTGTTCTTTTGATGTGTAGATTAAGCAATTTATAAAAGAAAACATTTAATTGAAGGCTTGCTTAGAATTTCACAGGGTGAATCCATGACCATTGTGACAGAGAAAAATAGCAACAATGAGACAAGCATGGTGCTGGACATGGAGCTGAAAGCTTATATTTGATCTACATGCTGGAGGCAGAGAGACATACTGGCATGACATGGGCTTTTGAAACCTCAGAGCCCACACCATTGGCATGCCATTTCCAACAAAATCACTCCTCCTAATCCATCCTAAAGAGTCCACCAACTGGGAAGCAAACATTCAAAACACAGGAGTCTATGAGTATCATTTTCATTCAAAGTGGCGCAATAATGGAGGATAGTTTTCTCCAGAAGGAATTTGCTTGAAATTATGTTATTTATGGACTAGTAGAGGAAAAATGAGGATGTACAAATTAAGGTAGACATGGAAATCTTTATGTATATGAATATTTTTAATCTTAGCAAAAATATAATTGCCTCATCTTCCTACCTTCTTTTCCTCCTTCCAGGCTCTCCTATGATCTTCCATTTCAGCCTCTGCTATCTTCTCCCTTAATTTCAAAATTTTGGAGTAAGTAATTAAACCTACTCAAATCTGTTTCTGAGAATTTCCCTCTGGGCACATTTGCATTCTTGCCAAGGTACTCCATTATTTACTAGTGCTAGAGCTCTGTGACCTGACCTGTGTACCCAGTAATCTAACTGCTCTCTTCTGGCCCAGATTTAGTGATTGCATTCCTAGTAGGCTTTCCTGTGCATGTTATCTCTGACTCACGTTCTTTTTTACAGAACCTCATAGAGTTGAATTTCATAGTGAAACCTGTTCTTGCAAGGGTGTAACTTTGTCATAATTATTGTAGTGGAAAAGCAAACAGAAAATATAATTGACAGTGAAAGTTTAAATTCACTGAGATATATAGAGTTTCGGTCGGGCTAACTGACACCATAATTTGCAATGATGTTACAATGATATTTTAAATAAATGAAGATTATATTATATACATATAACTCTTGTTATCACATTATTACTTTTTCACTTTTAAAGGATAATAATATGTAATTATAGGTTATGCTTTTTCTTTTTACATTTTTCTCATTTATGTCTTATTATTTCTTGCCTGTTGTGAGAAGGCTGGGAAATTGATTCAGTAAGTAAAATGTTTGTCATATGAGCATGAATTTCTATCAAGCATCCATGTTAAAAACAAAACTAAACAAAACTAATAAAGTGCATTGTCACCCATGTGTAATTTCAGCTTTGAGAAGGTGGAGACAGGAGGTTCCCTGGGGCATGCTTACTGAATAGTTTAGTTAAAGTAGTATAAGTTCAGTTAGATACCTGAGATCAATAGAGGAAGACACCTAACAATGATGATTGAATTCCACAGATATGCGCCATGTACAAAAGTATTCAACACACTCACTCACTCACACACACACACACACACACACACACATGCACGCACACACACACGTGTATATAAAATTTTTATTCTTTGCCAAACATTTTCTTGTTTCATGACATGGGAATGTTGTTTCCCATTTGCTTTCACCTTATGTCAGATAAGGCAGAAAATTACAATTGCCCTTGAAGTATCTCTGTGTAATTAATAATTTAATCATAATCTTTTGTTGGAAATCTACACTAGATTTCACAGCTAGGAAGATTATTGATGGGAATTTCTACCAGCAGAATATATAGCACCTTGATTGCTGACCAGTAGACAGCTTCTGGCCATGCACTGCCTACTATAAGAAACTGATAAATTCGAAAACACTCATTTAAATCAATAACACAATATGCAATACTAACTGGTTCAAAAAGGAAACAGTGAATTTAAAAATATTTGTAAATACATTATTGCAAACCATAAAACCTGACAAAATATATAATATGCCACCAAATTAACATTCAAAGGAGATTATGTTGGGGATAAATATATCCACAAAAAATGAAGAGTTAAAATAATTTTCTATCAAAAATTTTTCTGAGAACTGAATCAAAACCTGAAAAAATGCAGTTTTCTAAAATATTAACATGAAGCATGTGATTATAGTAATGAGAGAGACTGATAAAATAGAAATATATTACTTTAATTTGTACAGAAAATACAAAGTTTTACAAGGTAAGTTAATGATAAAATGTGAAAGCCTGTATTAGCTCATCCTTGATATATTCCTTGATATATTAATGAAAAACGATAAACCAAACAAGTTATTTAAATTCAGTAAACATTTCATAAGCAAAATAAAACGTTCAATTACACTCAAATGGGCAGACCAAATATCACACATACATTTCTTTCAAATTTTCATTACTAATATACAATGCATGACATATCTTTCTATCTTTATGTGCTACATATTTCTAGGAAAAACTTGAATATGTACACTTGTTTGCTTATTGCTAAAAATCTATGCTGCAGTAGAAAATTTTGTGTTCTCTGTTAATTTTCACTGACCCCCAATATTAAGACTACAAAATCTTCTTGAGAGAATCCCTGATGGCGCACAAGCTATGTGTGGAACAAGTCACAATTAAACCTTATAACCCTTGAGCATCATGTTATATACTAACTTAGTCACTTATAGATCCTGAAATTAATGGACTAAACTTTATGAAACTAAACAAAAGGGGGTATTGATTGCCCATATTTACATTAAGTCTACAGAAAATGGTTAAAAAGTAACAAGAACCTTTTTCAGTGTGAAGGGTACTCACTCTTAAGGAGAAATTTGCACAAAAGAGTTTTAGTCTTGACCTGGTAGCAGAAGATTGATATATTCAGTACCTTGAACAGCTTAAACCTATAATTTTATGGACAGAACATGATGATTTATAATACTGTGGATAAACTATCAAAAATGTCTTAAGAGCCAATCGCTTTCAGAAAGACTGCCAAGAACTTGGCTCTTTCCCAACATTTAAAGATCTTCATTTGTAAAAGAAAGAAATCAATTGCATATCATTAGGCTCAGTTAAAACCCACATTTAAATGCTGGAAAAGAATATGTAGAAAATTTTTCAGAGCTTAATGAAAGCAGAGATTAGAATTGGAATTTATCTCTGACATTTTTCGAGTTGAAATATTCAACCTACCAGCTGTTGAGTGTAATGTGCTTGTCAACTTCACATCCAATGGTGCACTGATGATAGTTTTTATTGAGACATGTCTCCATTATTTTTGGGTCCCCATTTCATCCTAATATTGCAATCCATCTGAAAGACTCATCAAATATTGCCACTATTACTAGCACCCTATCATTGTGGGCTAGTATTTTCTAATTTTAAATACTTAATGAGTAAGAAAGAAAACCCTCAATGTAGCTGTCTGTTGATAATTCAGATATATATGTCATGGTAAAATAACCAAATTTTGTAACTCACAAATGTCAAATGAGTGCTATTTATTTTGCAAAAGAGAAATACAAATAATCAGAACTGATTTGTTTAACTGTCATGAAGTACACCATGCACAAATGTAACAATGCAGAAAAGAATACAGAAACAAGGTTTGTGATTTTCAAAAAATAGTTGCAATCATTTGAAAAGTCTTTGAGCAGACATTAACATTTAATACTGGTCTAAAGTTAAATATGTATGCTAGCAAGATACATTGGCAGAATGAACATGAAATGAAAGATAAGGATGTAAATAGGATGTGTGGTTATATATTATTTATGATTTATAGAAGCTTGCCTGAGGACTCAGAAAGCAAAGTCAGTTACAAGCTATAGAGATCAGGAAGTAGTGATACACACCTTCAATCTTAGCAGTCATAGAGGTAGGAGGTGGTGGGACACACCTTTAATCCCAGGACTCAGATTTAAGAGGAAGACTGATCTGTGTGAGTTCAAGGTCACGCAAAATTGACCCATTCCTAAAAGAAAAAGCTCACACAAGGATGATCTCATACTTGGGATCAGGAAACAGGAGTGATATGACTGGGTGGAGAAAGGAATAAAAGGCAGGAAACAGGAACTGAGAGCCTTTGCCTCTGAGGATTCCTTAAAATAGGATTACCATTTCAGTTGAGTAGAGGTAGGATCTACTGGGTTAGCTGCTTTGCTTCTTTTTCTTCAGCTTGAAGAATGAACCCCAATATCAGTCTCTGGGTTCTTATTTTTCATGTTATAAGGATGTTTTGTCTTTTTGCATTACTAGTAATATGGAATACAGAGCAAGTTTCTTTTAACAGAAGGAATATTTCATTTCATTATATTCAGTTTGGAGACTGTGGAAATCTGGCAGGAAAATGCACACAAACAATAGGGAGCATTTATATGAGGCTGAAGACTAGAAACAAGGTTTAGATTGGAGAATAAGATTTTGAGGGGATCAGAATATATTTATAATAAAAACTGTAGGCTTCATAATACCATCCAGGAAGCATATCAATGTTGTAGACATCTAAGGTACAACAAAATTATCAGTACTGTATCACACTATGGTGTCAAATAAGGCAAAAACAAGAATTAGTACAAAATAAACTTACTAAAGTGTTTCTGAGTAACAGAGGGATATGAAAACTAAAATTACTAATATGAAATATAATTGGTATAAAGACAGTTTGAGAAATATTATTGTAGTAATTTGTGAACATCAGAATTAACTTGGTTAATGGGTAGAGGTAAAGGATGATGAACCATTGAATGTACACAACTCATTCTAGAGAGAAACTGGGTGCATAAAATTATGATTGCATTTAATAGTGAAATTCAAAGAAAATGATGTGGATGTACATATGTGAGGTGGTTTCCATAAGAATGCCCCCCATGGGCTCATATATTTGAATGCTTAGATAACAGGAAATGGCACTGTTGAGAACGAATAGGCAGTGTGGCCTTCTTGGAATAAGTGTGACCTTATTAGAGGAAGCATGTCACTGAGAGTAGACTTTTAAATTTCAAAAGCCCTTGCCAATCACCCCCCCCTTCTCCCTTTAGGCCTTTCTGCCTGTGGATAAAGATATAGTTTTCAGCTACATCTCTAGCAGCATGTCTGCCATGCCTCCTATGATAATAATGGATAGCAAATAAGTTAAGAAACTGAGACACTAAACATGACTTTTAATCTTTTCTGGTATTCTATATAAATTCAGAATAACAAAAGTAGATTGAAGCAGATTAGTATCACGCAACTAAAATTTTAAATTTCCTACCCAAATGTAAAGACTCAGTAATGTCTAGGGTTACATGATAACCACAAGTGTACAACAGCGTCATTTAAATCTTGGAGTAACCAACAACACTGTAGTTGAACTTAGATACTGATGAATAGGAAGCAATTAATGGCCAGCAGTTTAAATTTTGAAAACTACCTGTGGATAGTGAGGCCATGGACCCTAGAGCAGAACCTGCTACTGCCATTTTTCTAAAACTAGTATAGTTTCTAACTACACTATAAATGTCAAGCCTGATATGCACACATAAGTATAGTTCTTAGCCCTCAATAGGTAGCTTCTTTTTGCAGCAGATGTTGACCATTGCAGAAACAACAACTGGATAAAATACAGAGAATAACTGACTATAAGGTTGCCAATCCTCAACTTAAACACCTATAATACAACT